CTAACTACTACTAACCACTACTAACTATTACTAACTACTACTAACTATTACTAACTACTACTAACTACTACTAACTACTACTAACTACTCCTAACTACTCCTAACTACTCCTAGCTACTACTAACTACTCCTAACTACTACTAACCACTACTACTACTACTTCTACTACTACTACTACTCCTACTACTACCACTACTACTCCTGCTACTGCTGCTGCTACTGCTACTGCTACTGCTGCTGCTACAACTACTAATAGTAGTACTACTACTACCACCACAACAACAACTACTATTACTATACTACTACTACTACTTCTTCTACTACTACTGTACTACTACTGTACCACTACTGTACTACTACTGTACTACTACTGCACTACTACTGTACTACTACTGTACTACTACTGTTCTACTACTGTTCTACTACTAATACTACTACTAATACTACTACTACTACTGCTACTACTACTACTCCTCCTCCTACTACTTGCTACTACCACTACTACTCCTACTGCTGCTGCTGCTACTGCTACTGCTGCTGCTACAACTACTAATAGTAATACTACTACAACCACCACAACAACAACTACTAGTACTACTACTAGCACTACCACTACCACTCACTACTACTCTACACCACGACCACTACACTACGACTCCTTATGCTGCCACTGCTACTGCCAAGTAACCAGTAGTAAGTAGCAAGGAGTGGTAGTCGTAGTAGTAGTAGTCGTCGTCGTAGTAGTCATGGTAGTAGTAGTAGTAGTAGTAGTAGTAGTAGTAGTAGTAGGAGTAGGAGTAGGAGTAGTAGTAGTAGTAGTAGTCGTAGTGGTAGTGGTAGTGGTAGTAGTAGTAGTAGTAGTAGTGGTAGTAGTGGTAGTAGTGGTAGTAGTGGTAGTAGTGGTGGTAGTGGTAGTAGTGGTAGTGGTAGTCGTAGTCGTAGTCGTGGTCGTGGTCGTAGTCCTAGTAGTAGTAGTAGTAGTAGTAGTAGTAGTAGTAGTAGTAGCAGACTGCGCTACATCCACCTGAAGACTGCGACGAATCGGATGAAGAAGAGGAGCGCATCAACGCAATCAAGAAGGCGGACAAGGATGAGGCCATTGCTGATGGTGCAGATGACACCATGGACAACCAGTGGAACTCGGTCGCAGAGTCTGAGATGATTGATTTTGGCATGTGGACTAAGGTCAGCGCTCCGGGTGTCAACATCGACCAGGTCGAACCCGCCCCTCCCACTGAGCGAGAGAGGGCGGAAGAGGGCGACTTTAACCTCACACTTCGCGGGCCATGGCTTTGATGCTCCACGCTCCAACAGTGTAGTGTCAGGTGCTGAATGAGATCCGGCGTTGCAACCAGGTTCTGGCCCAGAATCAGAACTTCGAGGGCAATCTTCGTCAGTGGAAGGAGACCACTTGGAATGCGAAGCTTGAGCGCCGAGGGCGACTTGGAACACTCGGGGACCAGCAGCTCACTTCCATGTCCTCGTGCTGTTCGAGCTGTTCTTTCAGGGTTTCTTGGCAGGCGCGGAGCTCGATGCGATTAATAAGGGCTAAGGGTTCTGTGTGGCGCTGTGATAGTGCTGTGTGGCGCGGTGATGATTCAGTATGATTGACCTTGAACCTTATTGACCTTGAACCTTCAGTCAATTTCAGGATCGCCGGGCCACAACTTGGAATTGTTCAAGAAACTGATGCAGCACGAGGAACAGTTTCCTCAAGCATTTCTTTTTTACTTTGCAATGTTGAAAGCTTCATTCATGACGTACAAGGGAGCGTTGAGATGCGTTGAGAAACTTGGTGCTGGGGCTGGATGCTGCGGCTTTGGTGCTGATCCTGAGGGTGCCGCTACTGGCTCCCAATCGATGCCGAAGAGCTCGATGAGGATGAACATGACGAGCGGCACCGGGTGATCATGAAGGAACTTTACCCCGATATGCCGACGCCCCTGGGAGGTCGAGAGCTCGTCGAGGAGTACCCGTGGGAGGTACCAGATGAGGGTGACACTCTCGATTTTGATGAATGGGAGAAGAACCTCAAAGAGCACAAGGCATCAGGAGCCGGCCCCTACGCTCCTCCCATCGAAGTTCCTCTTCCTCCGCCCAGGACCGAAGCCGAGAAGGCGGATGACGAAGGTTTTGCAGACGTCCAGAGTGAGAAATCCTATATCATGGTTGACTACGTTGAGCAGCCTGATTGGGATGATGCCGATGCTGATACTGAAGCTGCGGCAACAGGCGACGACTTTGTAGGGATCTCCCTAGATCGCATTTTGGGGCCGGTTGGCCAACTGGAGGCCGGACTGACTGCGGGGGAGTATTGCCAGATTGCGGCAGATGGCCTGGCGACGGCAGCTCCGGACGACTACGCCACCGCAGATGGGCGAATGGACAGCTCCGTGTTGAAATGGATCCACGCGCGCGCGTGATTGTCAACACGCAACGCATGGCAAATCATGAGACTCACGGCAAGCTCCAGAAATCCTGAGGATGTCGTTGGCGGCAGTAGGTCTTCTTTCCTAGGATGCTCGGTGACTCGTCCGTGATACGGATGAATGTCTTGGCCAGACTTGCTAGTAGTGGTAGTTGTTAATGTCGTTGCTGTTGCGGTGGAAATTGTAGCCACAGTAGCAGTAGCAGAAGCGGTAGCGGTAGCGGTAGCAGTAGCGGTAGCGGTAGCGGTAGCGGTAGCAGTAGCAGTAGCAGCAGCAGGGGCAGCAGCAGCAGCAGGAGGAGGAGGAGGAGTAGTAGTAGTAGTAGTAGCAGTAGCAGTAGCAGTAGCAGTAGCAGTAGGAGTAGTAGTAGCAGTCGTAGTGGTGTTTGTGGTGGTAGGAGTAAAGGTGGTGGTGGTGGTAGTGGTAGTAGCAGTAGAGTAGTCGTGGTAGTGTTAGCGGTAGAAGTAGTTGTATAGTAGCAGTAGTGAGTATTAGTAGTAGTACTACTACTGTTTGTAGTAGTATTTTTGGAGGGTGGGTGTGCTTGGGAGAGCGCGCACTACCTCAAAACCCTTAGAAAACACTGTAAATACCGTGCAAAATTTCAAAAGCTGCTCTGAGAACTAGGCGAAACGCAATTTTTTTGATTTGTCTGTGCCCAGTCTCCATGTCCAATGTCAATAACAAATAACAGGTCTACGTCTGCCCACTATCAATGTGCAACACCAATGATAAAATGGGGGCACTATTGGTTTTTTGATGTTGGCTGCATTTTGTCTCAAACATGGTGGTTTTTCTGGTTTATTGTTTTTTTGTTTATTGTTTTTTTTGTAGTCCCTCTAAACTGGGATAGGCTTGGATCTCACAAAATTGATCAAAAAATTGCTCAAAACATCAATTTTGGAGAGAGTGTTTTTGCATCATTTTTTGCATGAAAAACATCTCCCAGGAGCACCCGTTCTGGATTTTTGTGTCTGTGCCAATAGTAGCAGTAGCAGGTGTAGTAGCAGTAGCAGTAGAAGTAGCAGTGGGAGTAGTAGTAGTAGTAGTAGTAGTAGTAGTAGTAGTAGTAGTAGTAGGAGTAGGAGTAGGAGTAGTAGTAGTAGTAGTAACAATAATAGTAGTGGTAGTAGTAGTAGTAGTAGAAGAAAACGTGTGAATGCTTGTGTTTTGGCTCTCGAACGCACAAAACACAAAACACAATGGCAAAGAGGTTCAAAAATCATTTTTTTAAAACATGTTCGTAAGGGTGCACCCCATTCCTCAAAGGTGGCTCGAGAGGGCCCAACATGCGGGTTATGGCGCCCAAGTTGCCGGTAACACCAACCAACACCACAACAACAACGAACACAAGAACAAGAACAAGAACAACAACAACAACAACAAATACAAATCTCACCTGTGTGCCCCTGTCGCCGGCCACTGAACTGTTTGGTGGGCGGGACTAGGGCAATTCTCGCCAAGAACCAGAAATCGGGCCAGCAGGGTCTTGCCCTGGCACGTTCCTTCAAGATGGTTCAAGGTAGCCCGAAGGTGCGAGTTATGCTGCGCAAATTGCCTTGCATGATTTGCATTTTCTGTTTCTGGCAGCAACAGCAGCAACAGCAACAACAACCAGAACCACTAGAAAAACACAACCACCACCACCACAACAAGAACCACAACGACCACAACACCCCCCTCCTTTCCTGTTGCCCCTCCCCCTGCTTTCCCCTGCCTGCCACTGAACTCCCTGCTGCTGTTGGGCGTGAACCCCTGAAATTTCTGAGAAATTTGTGTTCGCATTGTTGTAAATCTTTGATTGCATTTGACTGACTGTCTGCCGGACTAGCATGGCTTCATAGCACTGTCCCTAAGGCAGCAGGCCTATCAGACAGCTGCCGCAACGGCCAGCAGCGGTTATGGCACAGCCTATCCGCCACAGGCGGTTTTGTTTGGTGCAGTGTTGATTGCGGGACACCAGGGTTGAAGAGGAATCAAACATGACCAAACAATGACTGAAGTATGACTATACTAACTGTTTCTAGTAACTAGTAATTACAACTGGCAGGAAATATTTTCTCAAACACAACAACGTTTTTTTTTTTTTTTTTTAAATAGACGTGATCATGTTACGATCTTGTGAACCTTGCTTCCTGGTGCACAATTCTCCAGGTTTCTCGTTAGGCCAGTGTTTTAAAACATGATTTCTTGTTGCAGGAGGGGGGGGCAATTTTTCGGCTGGTTGGTTCCCAAGATGTCTCAGTTTTTCACGACGTCATCACCTGGTGTTCTCTCGATGCGTCCTTTGGTTTTGTCGTCCGATCTCATTCGACTCTGAAAACAAGTTCGGCACCAAGAAACGTCTGGCCCACCAGCAAACCAATTTTTGTCCGCCTCAAGTTCCGCGTTCTCCGATATCTTCGAAGTTCGGGGTGATTGGTTGATCAATGTTGATCATGTGCGGCACGACTCTTCATCGTGCCATGCACACCAGAGGACCCACGCTGGAGTCTCAAGACTCTTTTGGATCTCCACTTTCTCGACTCGATGTGAAGGAACCGGGCGGATCCGACCTCGCCCCCTTCGTCCCCGCGAACCGCGGGCAGCGACCGCCGAATCCGACCCATCGGTGGTTGGGGGATGTGCTTGGCAACCCGGAATGGACGTGATTGGACAGTCGGATGGACTTGTGACTCCGAGGTCACTCCATGTATCTCCATGTCAACGTTTCTTTTTTTTCTTTAAACACACTCTATGTGATCATAGGCTCGAATCAGATCGATGGCAACACTTACGGATCCAGACGAGAGACCGATGTTTTGTATTGGCAGGCTTGGTGATTGCATTGCAGTTGCAAGGGGTCCTACATGCTCCTATCTACTTTGCATTCATGTCAGAGCTCAAAAAAATGGCTCCTCCAGCAGTCTCCAAATCCCTCCAAAGTTACCAGGTCACCTATTTTGGGGACTGGGGCCAATTTTTTACCCTTCAATTTCAGCTGGGCAGTTTCAAGCTGGGATCGAAAACGGCGAACGGGAGAAAACCGTGATCGAGTTCTTCTACAGAATTTTCCATTTGAGCAGTTCATTGGATACATCGCGGATATAAGGACTTGGATATGAGATATGCATCCCTCATCTCTGCAGGCGGCTTCTACCTATGGAGCTCCACCGGGCTACGGGGCGCGAAACGCGAGTCGACGCGTCGTCTGTCGTCGACGCGCGGACTGACTGACGCGGCTCGAGTCTTTGAACGGTTAGGCAGACAGTTTGCACAGTTGGAAGATCCAGACAGTTCATCCGATGAAATGGAGGAAGACAAAAGGAATTGAGGTGAACACACCAGCTCCACGCATAAAGAGGGTGGTGATTGGAAGCATACATGAAAACACATCGGAATCGTTATAGGGGTGTCTATAAACCAACCTTTCCCTGGTGGAAGATGTTGTTGGATGTGAACATCTTCGATTTGCCGATTGCGGAACATCAGGGGAATCGACAAAATTTCCTTGCCTTTCCAACTGCGTCTTGTAGAGGCAAAAGTGTCCAATCGAAACTGGCAGATACTTCTCCCAGACACAGATTGAAGATCACTTGAAACCAATTCATGATGGCTTGTTGCTCGAAGCTCCTGTATTGTCAAGTTGGCTTTGGGTTCTACTTGTACAACCAAAGTTTGTGTAGGCTTGGGACGCTTGGGAGATGTCTCTGCAAGAGTCAAACACTGACGTCGGCGGAAAAGTTTGGGTCGATCTCCAAATGATGCACGATCTCAATCATTCACCATGAATTCACCAAACGAACGTGCAGTTCTGCGCTTCTTTTTGCCGACATTCCAACGCTTGATGACCAGTTCCATCTCGATTCAGCCGTTTTTCGACGATGCGATCGCATGCGTCCCAGATGTGGTCACCGCCGTGTTTTCGGCGTGTTTTTGGGCGGTGCGGAGGCGCCGTATGGACAGCAAGCGGCCACTTATCCAGCGAATCCCACAGCAGGGGGCTCCAAGACTGAGCGACGTGGTCAGGGCGTTGCGGCGTAGGAGTAGTGGTCAGATGCCAATTTGGTAGAACAGCCGATGTTACGATAGAACGACAGGAGAGCACCCTTACTGGGCAGATCGAACAACCAGGCTTGGCTAGTGGCTAGCAAGGAATTGCGGATATGTTCTGCCCAGGCCTCCTTGATACAACTTCCTCCCTCCATAATCCCCACCTAAGAATGTATTCGAAAGCGTTGCTTTTTTTTTTGGTATTTTTTTTATCCGTTTTATCTACATTGACCTCTTTTCAACCACCCCAGGCCCAATGATAGGTTTTTCTATGTCAGTCTCATGGAGTGTATGGGGGTGGTAAATCCGTAAGTTTCTTCTCCTGCCCACGGACCGAAGTCGCTTCCGGGCCGAATCTGCGGACCAAGGCCTATGCGACAGCAGGCTATGGCCTGGGGCAAAGCCCGGAAGCCCAGCGGAGTTCAGTGCTACATGCGATTGAATCACTTATTTGATCTTATTTGACCTACATTGGGGTGTTTTCTTTTCTTTTTTCAGAGGGTTTTCAATGGTTTTCAGGTAGATATTCTGTATGTTCGTTTAGGATGGAAAGAAGGAGGACGTGGGCTCGGATGGATCCAATGTGATCACACATGTCTTTCCGGCCAGGCCAGATCCGGCCCTGTGCGTACACCAATGACTCAGGGAGATCTTTTCCACCCACCCACCGATGACACCAACCACTCGGTGCTCCTCCTCCCAGGGTTTCCCAGGAGGGGTCCGCTTCGCTTTAGTTCCCTATAGAAGTCCAAAGACTACACTTTTCCTTAGTGAAGTATAGGCAGTATAGGAAATTCCCGGAATCAGGTACCCTAGCCAGGCCATTCTTTTTATAGTCTTTGACTCCCAGGGTAGTGTTTTTTTCGTTTGGAGGCCCCTACAACTACCTGCAGCAGCCGGCCGGTGCTGGCGGCGCTTCAGGGGTATCTCGGATGCACAGAGAGGTATGAACCTCCGACGTTGGACGGGTCGGCCAGCGGGAACTTGGGCCAGCGGGAACGTGGTGCATGAAATTTGATATGTTTCAATGTTGGTTTGTGAGCGGTAAAATGCATGGTTGCTTCAACATCTTCAACGACCACAGTGGAGTGGCTGAAGTACCACAAACTTGAGGATTGGATGTTTGGGCGAAGCAAAGTGGCAATGAATGCTGACATTCCTGAAGCTTCCCACTAGATGCAAAACGCTTGCCTAACCTGGCCGTTTTCCAGATGCAGTTTGATTGAAAAGGCAGAACATTTAGTTGCAAGATTCATCTCCAAAGCAGGTCTGAAGGGCTTTAGTGTCATGCTCGGACCATGAGGTGATAAGACGAGCTTGATAGGACGTTTCTGCAATCCAAGCTCCTTTGCAACAAAAAAACAAAGCAATGTGATGTATAACAGCGGAAGTGGACGGTCGGCAAAAAGTGGTGAAGGGATGTGATGGGAATGATGCTGTATTTTTCAACTTTTTCCGCAGTCTTTGGCACCAGGGAGATCAGATACGGTATACTGTAATTATACGTAACTCATTCAGCCATGAGGGTAGCAAAGTTTACCATCCCTCCCATCATGGAAGCTGACCGAACTGTTCCATCCCCAGATGGTCTCGGACGGCCTTCGACGCGAAGTGTTCCACCACTTTGGTAGAGGAGTTTCGATGACGGTCGCCGACCCATGGAGTCTCACTGTACGCCGACCCATGTGAGACTCCGCCGATGGGTCTCGAGGCCTTTGAACAAGCGCCCACAGGCGGAGCAAGAATCCTGCACTGAAGAGGTGCACACACTGAAGACGTACACACTGGCGTACATGCAGCTTCGCAGACCCCACGAACACTAAAGAACGAACACATGCAAAGCGCAGTGGAATTCACCCTGTTTGTAAAGGAAAGTCGTCTGACCCACCAGGACCAGGGCCATCCACGTAACCACGTGAGGTGTTCGTCAGAGTGTTTGCCAGAGGTCATCGCACTGGGATACCTGTGTCAGTCGTTCACTACTTGGTGGACAGGCCGGGCGAACATGGTGGTGAAAAGAAAGACCCATCCCCCATCCCCCATATATCAGTGAGGGCCACGTGGTGGTCAGAAAGAGATAGACCCCTGTTCCCATCATCAAAGCCATCAAATTGTTTGCGTGCGTGTTTGGGGTGTGGGGTGGTGGATGTGTGAGTGTTTGTGCCATCTACAACATGGTCAACTTGGTCAACCAAGTTAGTTTCAGTTTCCAAGGACATACACTGATTCCAACCTCCCCACAACCCCCTGGCTATAGCCGAGGTGGTGGCTTACGGCAGCTACCAGGGGGCACAGAGTCAGGCAGCTCGCCAAGGAAAGCGAATTGCCTCGCCGCTGCGGCGTGCGCAGCGTGCGCCACAAAGACGTTCGCTTTCCTGACGATCATTTCTGAATTTCTTCGATGATGGACATTGATATCATAGCTTTCTGTTAGAACCAAATGATCCGATAGGTGGCGCCAGATCGATAACATGGATGGCCCAACACCAGCCCGTATCCAGAGTCCAGTCATGACTCATGAGTAAGTACTGGTAGTAGCCCGAACTGGTAGTGGTGGAAGGAATGACTCTATACTATATATCTTAGGGTGGAGGCCATTACTAGCTAGTAACAAGAAGCTACTAGGGTGGAGGTCATCGCATTGCTACTAGGGTGGAGGTCATTGCCACCTGGACCGTGGAGTAAAACTGAGTCAAAAGAGAGACCCGGACTGGACCGTTGCAGGGGCGAGGAGGGAGGACTGGCTGCCCCCGCGTCGCTCGGATCGGACGGACTGCGTCGTGCCCGGTCGGTCGGTTCCGGATGACCCGGACCGGCGGACGATCCGTCGGTTCCTGGGTCGGACATGGGGAAGAGGTGATGTTCTTTCAGGTTCCGAGGCATTGAAGAACAGCTCATTGGAGGGGAGATAGATCGATATATACAACATATTGTTACAAATGGAAGCAACTCAACCCTCCAATTGTAGGCAAGAAACACTGGAGGGAACGAAACGAAGCTTCGTTTCCATGGTCAGGTGACCTAGGATGTTCTTTCCATCCGTTTTTAGCGATCGCCGATCGCTTCCAACGTGTTCAGCATGCATGTTGTGCACGCGTCCTTCCACACCGGACAGCCGGAACACGTGCAACGTCAATGCTCGTGGCCCGGTTCCAGGTGCCACAAACACAGCAGGCGCAGCCTCTGCAATATACACAGCCTCAGGCCGCGCCGGCAGACGAACGCGCCGTAACGAACGCGACACTCGGTTCAAAGCTGTGGGTTCATGAAGTTCGTGATTTGTAGCACAAAGGACCAGGTGCTGTCACTGGTGCGGTGTGGCTCTGTTTACAGGGTTCCGGACCGCAATCACTGGCAGTACAATCCTAGCATGCTTTTGATCAATTTCTGGTGTTTCCCGTGTATTGGGGCGGGCGGGGTGGGCCGATTATCCACTTGGTATCAACGTAGGCTCATCCAGTTTCTTCGTGACTCGTGACCCTTTTGGAATCTCAGCCACCTGTCAAACAGGCGAAACAGGAAAAAACGTGTGACCTCTTAAGTAACATATCAAGTTCGGTCACGAACTGAAGAACCAGGAAGTTTGTTCTGACTTTAAGATATTGTCATTCGTTTAAAATGTGCGTTCTTGACGTGCGAGACATGTGGTGGGACCGGGCTTGGGAACCAAGATGTGCGTCGTGACCTGGCAGTGGGTGCTTTCTTCGCTGTGAGAAGAAACTGACGTCTAAAGATGTGACTTTGGTGACTGCCGTGCCCTTTCTAGGGTTAGAACAAGCACACGGGATCACTCACTATACGCACCATGATATATAGCTTCTAAGCCAAGGAAAAAGGTCATTCTTCATGTGACATCAGGCCACCAAACAAAACATACTACATCATCGATACTTACTCTCCCAACATGTTAATCTGATGAATTGTTTGATTGATTGATTGATCGATTGATTGACTCACATCTTAACCCGTCATTGAGTCCTTCACTTCTTCATCCACCCGTCACCACCGGTACCGGTCAAACCCCCGGATCCAGGCGGATCCTTCCGTCGCGACCGGAAGCTTGGCCCGGCACCCGGGTCTGTCTTTTGCGCGCGCGGGCCGCGGCGCAGCGGGGTGGATCGATCGTTGGGCACAACAAGCTTCTTGCTCCTAGTAGCGTGGCACTTGTTACCACTAGTAAGGCACTTGTTTCTAGTAGCTTCTTGTTACTAGTAGTAAGAGGTAGGTGGCATGGTGCTCGATGAGAGTGTGATCACGTTTGAGCACTGGTGTGATCAGTGATCACCTCGATCCCAGAGTGTGAGACGGTGGCGGGCTGTGAGATGGATCAGAACGGACCGAATTCAGCGCTGGGAACGCCTCCAGTGTGTGGAACAAGCCAGTGCGAGGCCCCACCATCCGATGGTGACCTGAAAGAGAATCCATCCAGGGACTGGGACCTTGATCTTAGGATATCTTAGGGATGTTGGGACTGGGACGGCCCTTGCACCCTGCATCTCAACAGTCTTTCATTGTAGCCTTATAAACTGTCTTTTTCTTGGGCCATAATCATGAGCCTTCACATATGAATACACCAAGGTGTTTGCATAAATCATCATAATCCACCTTTTATCCCTATGGCGCAATGCAGGAAGAGAAGAAGTTATAAGGGTTATAATTATGAATGAATCCACTCAAACAACTTTTCGGACAACATTTCTTTCTGGGCACGCGCTACGTATCTTGAATTCGCATGTGGTTCCTCCTTCATTAAAACCGCCATACACATTGCCCCACAAGTAGTGCAAGTCTTCATGTGGAGTGGTGGGTGGTGTAAAATTTCCAGACTCCAAGCCGCTGTCCTGCAACAAATACCCTCCTCAGAGCCTTGTGGGAGGCCTTACCGAGACTCTAAGACGATTTCTGTATGTTCCTGGTTCCCTTAAGTTGGAGACCATTTCTTGTAGAGGCTGGAGGCCATCACTCGTAGGTTGGAGGCCATCGCTAATAGGTTGGAGGCCATCTGCTTTTTTTCAACGTGGAATTCTTAGCACATCCTCTATTGTAGCTCGACCTTCAGGAATCGTCATGACGAAAAATGGGTGGTGGTTCTGCGCCCTCAACTGGGGCAGGTGTGAAAACGGTGTTCAACTTGGTCTGCACTCCTTGGAATCATTATGGTTGCATATGGTTGCGTGGATGGCATGGGAAAGGATGACAATGATTTTCTGAACATCAAACAGGCGGTGAACTCCTCCTCCACGGAACCATGACGATTTCAGGGAAGTGTATGTGGGTGTGTATGTTGACAGGAGACCCCCTGGCGCAATGGGTAGACTGGTCTATGTTCCTTCTTCCAGGGAGTCGAACCGGGGGGTCGATCTGAGACCCAAACGGCTTCCGAGAGGAATCCTGCAACTTCCTCGGGGATCGAAGGACTTATATAATATAATAGGTGGAACGAGTGGAACTCGCAAAACCGCTGGTGATTTGAAGGAGTTGACTCAAGTTGACGAGGAAAGACATTGGAAAGCACAGAACATTTGGGAGCATCTCCGTTTGAGAAACTCACCTGGTTCACAGGTGGGCAGAACTCAAGAAACACGAAGAGATGACGATGACGCATCACCATCTAAGAGTTGGTGCGAAGTGCTCCTGTTTTGCGGCACTGGCAGGCTGATCAGTCGCAACAGCAATACTTGGACATGGTCCGGTCGCGCCCAGGGGACCAGCGGAGCAGCGGAGGGGTCGCGCGCGCGCGTGGGGGGATTTCTGCCGGGGTCCACGCGGCTTGGCCTTTTTTGGTGGGAGGAGTGGAGCATCCTGGTTGGCTCACTTGGTCGGCTTGCGAATCAGGTGATTCTTTGTAACCCAGTTGCTGGGTGAATATGGTGAATCCCCTGGCACAACGCCGAGTGAAAAGCTCTGAACGCGGGCGACCGATGACATGAAATGCTGGGTGAATCCGGGATTTGTTGGTTGGTTTCTTCCCCGGTTCCTGCTTGAGCTGCAACTCCAAGCCTGGCGCCAGAATGGCACTCACACAGTGAATGCGCTTGAATGCGCTTATCATGTGAATGCTTGTATGGGAGAATCCATGCCCGAATCCTCCATTCCCTGAAAGTTCCTGGGACCGAACGCAAAGTAAGTCCTGGAAATTCCTGGCACCCAAAGCAAGACCATTGACCGACAGGGACCAGGGAGGTAGTGTGTCGGTGCCGGGTTTTGTTTGCAACGTTTCGCTGCTCACTGAACCCGGTATTGGCCTCTTAAAAGTGTGGGAATAGTACTGGAGTTAGTAGTGACCAGTGACATCCAGTGACATCCAGGTGCCTTAGACCAACATCACATCCAAAGCACTGCTGCGTTGTTTGCTATGGATTTATACACTATATATATATAGAAGAAATCCCTCAGCTAGAAACGCCCTCAAGAAGAACTGAGCTTTGAGTGAGGTTGCACACTTCATGATGACACGTCATGTATAGTTGATGTCTAGGAGCACTTATCCAAGACTGGAATTGTCATGTAAAGACTTGCATCATCGGTAATCGGCTTTGCCGTTTGCACTGTGTCACTGGACGCCAACCTGATTTGGCTCAAGACTGGAAAAACTAAGGTTCGTTGCCCGCCATCGATACGTCGCATCGACGGGTTGACGAGTTGATTGAACGTTGTGTTGAACTTCCAGGGAAGAGCAACTTATCTGGTTATCAGCCGCAAGAGCTACAAGGAGATCAGTGGTTGAAGAAACGAGACCATACACATAGAGAGAGACAAGCTTGTCAAAAAGAGAACATCGGCATTGTGTTGAAACTTCTTTCGAACACTTGTTGCCTCGCGCTTCCGGGCGCGATCCATGCCACCGCGAGAACGGTCGCGGCGTCGTCGTGGCCCACGGGGTGGTGATCCCAACAGGCCGAGTCAGCAGTCCAGAAGAGAACGTGGATTGCCGACAGAAGATAGAGAACAAGAAAGAAGCGCTCGACGACGTGATCCTTGGGTTGAGCGTGGGCGTGATCGCGAGCGAGAGTACGCTCGCGAGAGCAGAGAGAGAAGGCCTGCCCGCGAAGATCCTCCAAGGCGGGAGGTGTATCGGGCGCAGAGCCCAAGACAGCCAAGGTTTCCTCCTCCTGGTGTCGTAGAAACTTGGGAGACCAGACGACCACCAAGGCCAGTGTCGGAGTCCGAGGGTGAATCATTGGTTGAAGAGCGTTCTCGCGACCGTCGAAGGCGCTCACAGACGCCGAGTGAACAGACAGAGAGATCCCGTTCGAGGCCTCGTGGTCGGTGGCAAAAGTGCTGGGTGTGGGTTCCAGAAGGTGGATTGAGCCCTGTCCGTGACGACAGCAGGGATCGAGAAGCGTCCCAGGACGACGAGGTTCCCGAGGAGGACGTGGAGCTTGCAGAAGGTGAGAGTGTTGACACGGTGACAGGTGAGCCTCGTGAGACTCGTCGTGCAGCAGTTGGTGACATTGCTCCTGAGGTTCCCGGCGCATCGCCGGAAGTGGCATCAGGTGTTGACTTTTCAGCGACCGAGGATTCGATCGCGAGGCAGGCAACTGAGGAGGCCACAGAGCATTCAGTGTCGGCGGAACCGGAGACTCTTCGTGAGCGTGCCCGTGAGCTCCGCTCCAAGGCCCCTAGGCCATCTGCAAGCAAGCCGTCACCGTCAGTGAGCGAGGAACAGTTTGAGGAGAAGCCGCCAGTTGAAGAGCGTGTCAAACCTCCACCAACCGCAACATCGGCTAAGGCCAAGGTGCGAAAAGAGTCGAGTGAGACTGGGGACATTGTGCGTGAGCAGTCAGCAGTTGGTGCATTGAAGCGTGCCATTGGTCGTGATTCATCGCGCCAGCGCGAGGGAGAGACTTCGTCAGGTTCTGGCTTGAAGCGTGTTGCTGTTGAGGATCTTCCCACACCGCCTCCGGTGCCGACGAAGGAAGAGATCGAACAGACGGAAGCCGCCAGAAAGCGCCAGATTGAAAGCTTGCCGACTCCACCTCCGGCACCGAGAACTCCTCCTGTGCAGTTGACTCGTGCATCGTCGAAACCTCGCCTTACTGAAGAAGTCCGACCAGTGGTTCTCGCGCCGAGACCAAAAGAGAGACCAGCTCAGTCAGAGCAGACGGCACCTTCTCCATCATCTCGACCTCCCGAACCACGTGGTGCACCGTCGACCTGGCAAGATAAACCACTCGTGCTGCTGGACTTCCATAAAACCCTCAGCTTTCCGAACAACGACCCACCGGTGGCTGAGGCGACCGTGCAGACATTGAGGACGGTCAAGGAAAAGGGGTTCTCTATCGGAGTCCTCAGTTTCGCCTCGAATAGAGCCACTCAGGAAGGAGTTGCAGCTGGTGTCGCTGAGCTTGAGCGTCGACTTGGTTGGTCTTTTGACATTTTCGCGATAACGCGAACCAAGTTTTCTACAGACACTGAGCAGGGGGCATCGATCACCGGGCACGTTGGAAGCAAAGCGAAGTTGGTCGCGCAGTTTGGCCCGATCGTATACGTTGACGACCAAGGGTCACTGCTCAACGACGTGCGCACCCTCCAGCAGAACGTGCCGATTGGACACAAGACCCACTGCATTCGCGCTGCGTTGTATCCGAGTGAGGCCTTGGTTCCACTCGAGAGGACGCTCAGGACGTTTCCGAGGACCAGTGAGCTGCCCACCGCCAGAGAGCTGGGCAGGATCTTCGGAACCCGTTGAGACGAGAGTGAGACGACCGGTGTGCTTGTGCATTGGTCGAAAGTGGGCATTGCATCATTGGTCGATAAACCCTTCTGCAAAAGCTACGTGTCGGGTTGAGGCTGGCGATACATTGCCGTTGAATTCGGTGACATTGGTCAATAAACCTGTCAGCCAAGGCTACGAGTCGGGTTGAGGCCATTGGTACAACATTGATCTTGTGTGGTCAAAACATTGGTTGTGTTGAGGACACTTCATTGGTTGGTGATTGAACATTGTTCTTGTTGTTGGCCAGAGTCGTGCTACCTTCGCGCCAGGTCGCGTTCTCGCGACCGACGCGACTCGTTCGCCGCCTTTTGCGGTCCACTGCCCGAAATTCGCAGCTCTAAGCGCGTGGCAATAAACTCTGCGACAAACGTCGCGTGCCGGCAGTGAAAAGAGGAGGTGGTGCTGCTCAGTGTGTCGAGACAGTGTTGGTTGTTGATTTGAGCTTTTGTGAACAAACGATTTGTAGTTAGTTGAGAGTCCTTCAACAGAGTCGGGTCGAGATTTGAGTGTGTTGAGATTGAGTTGACAGATTGAGTTGAGAGTCGTTGCACTGCACCGGATAGTCGATGTCAAAACGGTCGCTTCCTGCAACTCCCTTTCGTGTCATCGGTCCTGAAGGCTCCTACGAAACCTCGAGTTCATCCATTTCTCCGGAGACTGGGCTTGCGAGGATGGAGGGTGATTTGGGAACTGGTGGAGGACCCGGGCTCCCAGTGAGCGTGCCGGCCAAGGGAAACACAAAGGTTGCAGTGAGTCGTATGCGGACCCAGAGTTCTGAACCTTCCCAACCTTCTGGGGTACAAGGTGATCCATCGACTGTTCCTGGGGTGCATGTTTATGATCAGAGAACCCTCAACCACCTGCAAGTACTCAACCAGCACAACATCGATCCAGAGACTCTTGAGAGAATTGTTCAGGGTTACGTTCAATCGCAGTTGAACCATGCAGAACAGGTGATACAGCATGAACGACAACAACATCAACTTGAGCAGCAAAATGCAGCACTACAGTTGAGCCTTGAACATCAACAGATGAACCAACACATACAACAACAAGAAGCCAACATGGCACAACAAGCACACAGCAGAATCAACCAGATCACAACAGAGGCACAAGCAGAAATACTCAAGCATCAGCAGATAGCAGAACAAGCACAACGCGAGATACAACGCGTGACAGCTGCAGCAGAAGCTAGGTGTCAAGACCTTGCGCGAGAGAACGAAGCACTTCGAGCTTCGCCTGTTGCAGGCTACTTTGATGCGTGTCCGTCGGAAGCCGGAAGAGCCCCATCGGTTGCTTCAGCCTCGCCATTGAATGTTGTTTACTGCCATGTGTGTGGAAATCAAAATGTTGTTGGTCGTGGTTGGTGTTGGAACTGCAAAAGTAGTCTTGAAGAGCCCGAGAATGGTACGGACCCTTTTGAACCATCTTCTCATGAAAGATATATGTACCCAGTGCCTACGCGACCCTCTAGTGTCGCGACCATCAGGGAGCCAGTCAACATGCAAAGGAACATTGCGTCGCATGAAGGACAATCCCATGCAGAAGTTCCTCTTCCTCGAGCCCCTGGCGGTCCGGGACCGTATGGCATGCCGTGTGGTGCATTGCATGATGGTTCACATGTTCATCATCTTGGCGTTGATCCCAGGTTGGTCTATGGATTGTCGACCCCAAAGGCTGTTTCAGAGTCAGGGAGTGCTCCTGTTCCTGGTGTAGGACTTCAACGGGCCGTTCCGGCCATGCCATCGTTCCCAAGAGCTTCAATGGGACCGGCTTACCCACCAGGGGGGTACATCGGCACTATTCCAGAAGCACCTCCAGGTGTATCATCATCAAGTCACCCACCAAACATCTCCATAGCGACACCCCGCAAGAAGGAGTCATCGGAGTCTGGTGGAGGATCAGAGAGCTCGGATGGCTCATCCGATGAAGGCTCAAGAATGCCGGCAGGCAACCCTCCTGAATCTT